GTGTGTGTGTGCATGCATGTGTATGTGTGGGTGTGTGTGTCGTCCAGGGTACATATAACTGGATTAGCCGTCATGCTTTTATTTTTGTAATGGAAACATCAGCTTCAGAAAGAAAGTAGGGCTGTGGCCAGGCAGTGGGTGTGTATGAGACAAGGGGGAGAAGGGGGGGGGGTAAGTCGTGTATTCTGTGAGAGGAACCTCTTTCTCCAAAATGTTTTTCAGCTTCGTCTTTACTTCAAACAGCAGTATCGAAACTGTATTTGGGTAGAAATCTTTGATGATGCTTTATTCAATAGGTCCATTCATTCCAATTTATATAAGTTTCCTAGAAAGCAACACTGTCATGACTTAACGCCTGCACTTTCCCTGCTATAACAAGTCATAGTGTCTGCTGTGAGAAAGGTCTGTTCCTGAAATACTTTGGAAAGACGCAGTTATAATGACACCAAACAAGCATCTTGAAATGTAGGAGAAGTTTGTTAAAGCTGATAGGTGGGAATGTGTTTGCACTTTATTATGTGGGGACTTAATGTATGAAATATGAATATCATACAGTATGTAGGATAAGAGGTGGTTAAAGTTGTATTCAGCAATTGATTGCACTTCTATAAACTTGGACAATTTCCAATTGGACAATTAAATGGGCAAAATCTGTGCAGAACTTGCCGACGTGTCCTGATATTCAGGCCCTAATATCAGTCAAAAAAAGTAAAAAAAAACAAACTTTTTCTTTAAAAAAGAAAGAAAAACTACACTTCCCATAATGCAACTGAACATCAGTTAAGACAAAGGAGAAAAAGGGAGTATGTGTGTGTGTGTGTGTGTGTGTGTGTATGTGTGGGACTTGATGAATGTGTGTGTTGAGAACATCTACAGGTTTGCTTGACAGACAACGTAACAGAGAGTGACATGACGATGGGGGGTGTGAAAACAGGTCACTGGACAGTGTGTGTTTTGTCTCAAAAATTGGCAGAGCAAGGGTCACCCATGTCTGTGTGTGTGTGTGTGTGTGTGTGTGTGTGTGTGTGTGTGTGTGTGTGTGTGTACACAGGGGCAGATGTCCAGGGTCCCATGCCATAAGCGAGCGTGTGTGTGCGTTGCTGTCTGTTCATGTGTATGAAGTGACGTGCAGCCAATCAACTCAATGTCCTTCTCTTCAGTGATTTGTACGGCCGACAGCGAGTCACTGTTGACATGATTTCAGCTCATGTTTCATGTCTCAGGCCTCAAGCAACAGCGGAAAAAGTCAGGATTTGTGAAGCTCACCACTCTGAAAGTACAACAAAAACAACACTGTAGCAGCCATGGACTGATACATTTCTTGAGACAATTAAAAGATTAATTCCACAAACACATTTCTTGCTGTTTTCTTTTTCCTGACAACTTGTTTCAAACCAAACTCCAGGGAAATGAACTGGCTGGTCACTCATGTGCAGGCAAATTTTGACAACAACAGAGAATGAGACTTAGCAATGAAAGCAATTTTGGCAATGCTACAGAGCTGAACAGAAGTTTTAGAATAGATTACAACACCGAGCTCTGCTGTTGTTTGTCATTTTACAGCTAAATGACCACAGAACTGAGAGAAGCAGCTTTTCCCTCTAATCTTACCTCACACATGTAAAGTGGCTTCATAATTCCATGTTGTAATGAAGTGTCAGTAAGATGTGAAAGTGAAGTTGAAGAAATTAAATGACAGGTAAAGGCTGAACTTTTTTCTGTTTCAGTGTGTGTGTGTTTTGTTTTCGACTGCACTGTTTCGTTTGGGAGAAATTTTCATTTTGTGTAATTATTAATTACTTATTGTTTGCGTAATCATTTAGAGGCAGCATTTTCAATTTCAAAATAAGTCTTAAATCACATGATAAAATAAAACAAATTCAATTCAAACCTTGAACACTTTTTCCTGCTTATTAATTTAAAAATGATTAATTAATTGAGTATGTATGTTTTATCAGAGATGTTATCAGCTTATAAAGATTTTGGTTTTGGGCACAACAAAAAGGTTTCACACAGGACTGCAAAACACAGATATATGAATGGCTGTGACATTACACAAAGCAACTGCACCATCTAGTGGTTGATACAGCAAAACACACACACACACACACGTTTCAAATCTATTGATTAGACTGTAATGTCAGTACAGTAGATATATATATTGAGTGTGTGTTAACAGAGGAAGATGGATGTTTACTGTTTCTATTCTAGAAGATGAATATGTTCTGTCAACTGTCTCTATTAGTTATACTATACTATTTAATGTATGTATTTATCCTTGTTTTATTGTAAATGTCATCATTATTTGCTTTTACGTGAGAGACTGTGTGTTGCATTTTATGTGAGAAAAAGTGTGTGGTGTCTGTGACTCCATAAACAGCTTGGATAGAGCTGGACAATTTGATTTTAAAAGTTAAATAACCCCCTGCCCCCCGCACACAAAAAAAAAAAAGCCAGCACAGACTTGTGACTGACAGGTTTAACATGATTGTATGTTGTCTCTGGGATCTGTAATCCAGTATGATAAAGAAATACAAAGGCAGTATTGTTCACATTTTAAGTCATGATGTCTCAATTGAGCTGTGAAACCACATTCATAAGGTTTATTTTCTTGTCATGTGCTTGGTGTACATGTTCTTGTGCACAGACTGTCAGTCAAAATGCTGAGTCAGTGTTTCTGTGGTTCACTCATGGGCAAATTTGTCAATGTCTGTAAATTCCTTGGGCTAAAACTTGACTACATTTAGGCTTTTCATGATAAAGAGCATTTATTCTTGTACCGTACCACCAACCCAACATTAAATCCTTACGAGAGACAATAACCCGGCACTCTTTAACCCCTGTACCCTGGTTTTTATGGCTGACATTTAGTTTGATGAACTTCTAGGACGGAAAGCGCTTTGCCTTAAATTGTTGCCAGCAAAACGGGAACAAAACTATCATCTTGCAAATGTACAAACTGACTTTAAAACCACATGTTCATGTTTGAAGTACCTCAGTATTTAATGTCAGGCTATCAAGATTCACAACATATCACCTGTCTGTCTGTCCTTAGACCCAGTCATAATCACACAAAAGCTCTCTGAGATGATGTTACACCTTTAGTTTCCACTACAGGTGCAACAATCTATTCACATCTCACTTAGCTTACATCATATTTAAAATATTATTGCGGATTAGGGTGGAAGGTTAAGCATCTCAATGGCCTCTTCTTCCTGTAACCATTGATTTAGTGGTTTAACAAGACCGAATATCACCTGAATCAGTGGCCTAAAACAGGTAAGTGCCTTTAATGTTGTGGCCACAAATATTGTGCACATCATGATATTATCCCCATATGTAACTGTTGAATATCACACTCCAAAACCACGGATGTAAATCTTCCTCTACAGCAGCTTCTGGGGAAGGCCCTCTACCTGCCTGCAGGGATTTACACTCATTCAGCCAAAAGAGCATTTGTGAGGTCCAACTCTGATGTTGGATGATAAGGCCTCACTTTGCAATACTTAATGGGAACTAAGAGTCCTAATCCAAACCATGAAAATCAGCCCCAAACCAAAAGCACACATTAGAACAATGGCATGTTAAAGATTGCTTGGCACTAACATAAAACTATTTTTCAGATTTACGTCCTCATTGAATCCATAAAACATCCTCCAGACCTCAGTGTCACCGGGCACATGGGACACATGGATGAATTACAGAAGGGGTCTACTGGTCACAGACCCAGGGGCTCAAGAGGACAGGGAGACCCCTACCCCAAGTATGAAGTGACTGTTAATATTTCTGGATTGAAAGTCATAGAGCTCAGTTAAAAGACACAGAATGACCATAAAGGTAAATGTGTGCATTTCTGACATGAATAAAACAAAACAAACAAACTGATGAAATTTAATTTCAACAATGGATACTGATGACACTCACACTGCACATGCTCGGTTAGACCTTCCCTCCACCAGGAAGACAGAAGACACACAGTTTTGGAGTTGTGAATTTTTTTTTTTTTTTTCATGAGCTGTATTTTTGTCCTGACCTTTCGTAGTGAAATAATCAAAATAATCAAAACTTAGTTTGACTCTTTGTTATGTTGACGTGGTTAGCACGTGTCAAAGTCAGCATGTCTAGCTAGCACCTTTTGTTCTGTCATGGCTGGTAGAGTTACAAGTTGATCACACAGCAGTATTTTTCAACAGTGACATGCAGCTAATTTTGTCCCATTGCGCAACAGATGCAACAATGATTGCTCATTTTAACGCATAAAAGAATATAAACAAGTTATTTGGGGAATTATTTGGTAGCCTCTCATGGTCTTACAATATATTTGGCTAAAATTGATCAATTCTTCCCATTTTGACTGGTAGGCCTATGGTCTAAGCAAAATAGAACTCAATAACTGTTCTTTAATAAACATTATTAAATAAATAAATATCATAATATTATTGTAAAAAATAAATCATACTTTATGATTGTAAAATCGTGCATGTTTTCATAAGACTATGCTTGTTGAGACAAAGAGTTCATTAGTAAAATGTATTTTGGGGTTCAAGGTTGGGGTCGATGGCAACAATCAGAATTCTTCCATTCAAATAAGTATTGTGAGTGATACATGTAATTATCTTTAAATAGTATGTATAATTAGCAGAAAGATGTAAGTTCAATAAATTAAAGTTTGGTTCGTCTACTCCAAATAGTCCCCAGTCTCCCCTAGAGGTGATGTAGAGATTTCCTCTGTCCTGTACAGGTGTCAATAGGTTTAATAGACAGGTATAGGACAACACGAACCACGAGTCTCAGCCAATCACAAGCCAGAGTGCAAGTGCAGTGAAACTGCAGTGGTTTTAAACTGATAACAGTTGAGAGCTGAGCTCTATAAAGCTCAATGTGTCTGTAGAAATACCTTGGGACTGTATCAGCCTCTATCTGCCTATTTTGCCCTGTTTTTCTCAGTTTTATTACTTAGTTCTTAGTATTAAAAAGTCGTTTTTATATTAAGTTTTAAGATGTTATCCTCTGCGCTGGTCCTTTTCTCTCTGTTTGCTGGTTCTGGTTTGTTTGGTTCTGTTTCGGGCTCTCCCGCTGTGGAGGAAGCCTACAGGGATGTGGTCAGCATCGTGTCTCCAGGACAGCAGTTTCTGACTGAGGAGTCCCTTCGCTCCCTCTTTAATACACTGGAGAAACGTGTGCAGTGCGGTGAAGTGTCGTGTGAAAAGGTAAGGTTTATTAACTCTGCAGGCAGGTTAGAGAGCCAGGTGGCGGACTGCAGGGTCTGTGTAGAGAGATCAAGGTCCAACAGCTATCAACCAGCTTTTCCTGTTCTTCCTATAACCACACTGATAAACTCGATTTCGGGGATCTTTCAATACTTACTAAGTTACTTTATCATCTGAATTTTACTATAAAAATGTATTGATTAATTAAAAATTAGAGTTCCAGCCAAAACTTCAAAATCACTCATTGTTTATTTGTGACAAGTTATGTGTTTAATTATGGCTATATGTGGCCTATTTGTTTGTCACAAGTTGTTTCTGATTTGCTGTGTGCGGTGCGCACCTGAATTAACCAGCGTCATTTCACAGGTTTCTCGCTGAAACCTGAAATATTTAGTACGCTGTAATCTCGTGAGGTCCTGTTGAATTTTGTTAAGATTTTTTTTCCCTCTCTATTAATCAGGAGTTATTTGAAATTATTAATTAAGTCTATGGAGGCAGGGTGGTTCTGCAATCCAATGCAAATATTTAATAATAAAGCCAAGCTCTCAGTCACTTTATCTGGGCAAATGTTTGACAAAAGGGACTCTCAAACATTGTAAAGGCATCAAAAAGAATACACGTTAATACAAGAAGCTATCCTATCATTTTGTTTTATTGATACATGTTACTCTGTAAACTTTAATTACATTAATAATAACTTTAATAACAGTTTCAATTCATAAACTAAAGTCATTATTGTAGCACTGGTCCATATGCTCATTTTATGAAGGGCACTTTTATGTATTTGCAGGCAACCTGGATAAAGCCACAGTACATGATTGAAGTGTCAAGTGTTAACAACTGGCTGGCAAATGAAAAATATGAAAAACGGCTTTACTATGCAGGTGATGACACAGATTATTTGACTTTTGATAAAGTTCTGATATCAAAAGAAGCAGTGAGAGTTTTCAGTAGTGACAAAGTTGTAATATATTGTAAATTACAGATTGCCAGTAGTGTTATAACACGTAACAGGCAAACTTGAAACAGATCCAATAAAATAATAAACCTTGTCTGACCCACAATAAAAGATTATAGTGTCTCTTTGACACTGACATTAACAAAATGTCAAGGAGTCCTGTACTTTCACCTTGTTGGGTCATATTGATTACACCCTTTGTTTCCTGTTTTGACTGTTGAAAGGGCAGGTTCACCCAAATTACAAAAGTAATTAAAAAAACATTTTTTCTCACTTACATCTGCTGGTTTGTAGCCACAGACAGTTTTGGTTTTTTTATGTGCCCAGGTTCTGAGATATCAGAAGTCTTCCTCTATCGCCACTCCAAATACAATAAAGGCGAATGAAACTGTATTTATGAAATTACATTTAAAAGTCCATCAGCAAAGCTTCTTGCTAGAAAACTCACTACAATCAAAATTCTATTCATCTTTAAGGTATTTGGGGTGGAGCCGGAAATCTTACAGACACGTATCTGAAAGGCAAAATATGTATAAGAAAATATGTTTATTTTGTCATTTGGGTGAAGCAAACATTTGATAAAAACCCATTTAATAAAGTCAAACTAATGAATAACGTTTAATAACTGCATGTTTTTTTTAATCCTCTCCCCATCTCAGAGTTTCTAGTTCAGGATAGATGGTTGTCATTATTTTATGGTGTTTTCTTCCATTTATATTGTAGCCCATATTCTTTCTTGTTATCTTGTAATCTTCTTGTTATCTGAAAAGGTTGTTTTCTAAAAAAAAAGGCAATAAAAGAGCTCATATGGTTTCACTTTAGATTACTGTTAATTATGTGAATGTTGATTTTAATGTTGAATTTAACAAAGGTTTACCCATTTTGTACAACAATAATAAAGTAAAACAAAGAAATAAATAAACTTTGATTTAATTGTTCCAGCAAATGTTTTTTTTTTTTTTTCTGCATGTGCATTTTTTTATAGAAGTGTTTTTATATATGGAAATGACTGAATTAGTAACTACATTGTGTTACTTGCGTCTGTATGTGTGTGTGTGTGTGTGTGTGTGTGTGTATATGCTCTGCTGTCTGCGCAGTGTGATCTAACAGATGCCGTTCACCAGCTGATCAGCAATCACTCCATCCACGGAGAGGGCAACACCGCAGAAGGCAGAGGAAATGTAACCATCACTGTATCTCAGTTCACTGACTTTGCTGCCGGCTGCGTCCTGTACCTAGCTTCTCCTGGCCTGGTCTGCGCCGCGGTAAGGCAGGGGAGGTGGGGAGAGGAGACCGAACATTTCCTGCACAAAATCACACATCAGGACCACCACGAACACCAGCATGAGAAGAGCGGGGCACGCCACGACCACGACCATGAACACCTCGACGTTCATGGATTAGAGGCTCTGCTTCAAGAGCTTCACGACCACTACGAGCCATCACACAGTGAGGTGAGTTTATGGGCTACATCAAAAGAAAACAAAATAAAACATTAAAAACTAAAGAAAAATTGAGTATTTGTTCATCTGTGGTCTGTTCATACCTGTGTCATTTTAGGAGACCCTGTGTTGGTCCCAATCTTTTCTGTCATGCCCCCTTTTGCAAGAATGTTTTTCTTTTCCCTGTCAAACATCTGTCCATCTTGTCCATCCCTAATCTTTCTGACTTGCGAACAAATCTGATGAGCCAGCATCAGAGCAATTAATCACAACAATACATCTTTTTCACAGCAGACATTTAGGCTTGACGGAGCAGGAAAAGCACAGCTGGAACTGCTAACATTAATAATTAAGGGTCAGTTCCAGCAATTATAGAGTGTAATAGAGTAATTAATGTTAAGTGTTTCACCAAAATGTCAGATGTAAAAAAAAATGTCTGTTCAGTTTTATTTCACTCCACATGGACTTGGTTTCCACAATGTGATTTTTCGTATTTATTCATGTGTAACTATAAGACTGTCCAGACATCAGTCATGCACATGCAGATTGACAGTAGTAATTCAGCTATACTTTACTCTTGCTCCTGGTCCCCTGCAGTATTTACCACTCAACATATCTTATCATACTTGGGTGATGCCTGCAGTTAGACCTACTAGGCTTTGCCCTGTACTCAGCCACATCACCGTCACACTAGTCATCACAATAAAAAGATGTCATTTGTATGTCAGAAGGAAGGAAGCTTGTGATCAGTTTGCGGAACACATTTTCTTCCTCTTCCTGGAGGATTTTCCATTTTCTTGCTGAATGCATAGCCAGCTTATGATTTCACCAACACCTAGCCCTTCCTGTATTTCTTTTTTTTTTCTTAGATGATGTTGTTTGTTGATATTATGTTTATGTCGCTTGTCTTCATCTATTGTTTCCTGTTGTCAAATGTATTTTGTTTTAAACGTTGTATGGTGAAGACAATTCTTCATAATATGGACAATAACATTCGTGTATAACTACTTAAGCAAAGTTAAGACAACACTGACAAAACAATCAGGAATCCTTAACAACAATACACGTTCTTGTAACTGTTATTAATAAACCTTGACATCTCAGTTAATTGAACTCAGGGTGAATAATTAGTTCAAAGTTGCTTTTATCGGTTTTGTAAATGTAAAATCAACTCTGTTAACTGAACCTAAGAAAATCAGTTCAATGAAATTAAGATATTAAGTTCAATCAACAACTAACGAGTCATGCTGACAATTAAACTGCAACTGCTTGATTAAAACAAAAAAAAATAAAATATGAACAGTGTACTGTCGACAAATCTTATGCAGTTGCGTGAATTAATAAAACTCTCTGTCTTACCCATTCTCCTCATCCTTCCTCTTCACCACGGTAACCAGAGCTGTGTAGCAGCCAGTGACATCATGACAGAGGTCAACGCATCATCACCAGACCAGAGGCAGGAAGTGGGTGCAGCTTTGGGCCGCGTCCTGTATCACGCTCTGAAAGGGCACTGCTTCATCACCCAGTCCCTGCCTGAGGAGAGCTTCTTCCTGGACTTCATCATGGAGCGTCTGGGGTCAGAGAACTTTACTGTCGGGGGTAAATGTCCAGCACAAAAAAAAAAAAAAAAACACCGACACAGATACATGGACACACACAGGGCTGCAGAAATAACAATCACTCAAAAACCCAGATCCTATTTTTACTGTCTTGTTCAGCACATGGGAGAGAGCCACTCCTTTGAAATAACCCAATGTGTAAATGTAGCAAGTAAAACTGATTTAAACTGCAGAATTTCATTTATTATAATAATATGCATATTTTCCAGGAGTACTTTTGTGTGCAAAAAATTGTGACTGTTGGTTCCACTGAAATATTTCAATGTCATTGATTTTTTTTTTATTTTTTATATCAACACACGTCTTCATTTTCTATATTTTCTTTCTTTATGACGGTCAGTCATGTCACCTGGAAACCAACGTGAATCTGATGGTTGTTTACATTTGTGCTGTGTAGATCTGGAGGCTCTGATGCGGAGTCTGAACGTAGGGCCTGCGCATGAACATGAGCACCACCACCAGGAGGACGAACACACCGATCACGATCACAGCGGCGCAAGACGGCAGAAGAGGAGCAGCCATGAACATCATGTGGGGCACGGAGGAAACACCAGCTGGGATCAGGTATATATGCCAACACAGAGTGCAGAAGACGTGATCTGTTCACACCTGACTTCAGACAGGTGCATAGGAGAATAAGTCACCAGTCAAAGTAGAAAGTTGTAACAAAAAATAATGTAATTAAAACTGCAATCATTAGTCAATTAGTTAGTTGATAGACATAATCTTTATCATGATCTGTTCTTTGAGGATTGCCACTTTCCTCTGTTTTAATATTATTGTATATTTGATATTTCTGTGATGCTATTTTCTGACTTTCTATTGACAAAACTGTTAATCAGATAATTAATTTTATTATTAATTGTAGCCCTAACAATAATAAACTGATATGAAATAACACAATAGCTGACATAACTACAGAAAAACACACAGTATGTGAGGAGCAGCCAGGGTCAGATTTTACTACAGTCCCTCATAGATCATCAGGCAGCTACCAACCAAAGCTTAAACGTTGTGATTTCTCCCAGCGCTGTTTCTCGGCTGAAGAACTGGTCCTGATCTTTGGTCTGGCAGACAACAGCTCTGCCTCCTCCGGTCTGGGCCGGTCTGACGTGGCTCGGCTCAGTCCGGCATTGGTCCAACAGATCCTGAGCGGAGCCTGCGAAGACATCACAGAAGAAGCGAAACCAGATGGGCTCACCAAGACTGAGAGTAAGTGTGTGTGTGTGTGTGTGGGTGTGTGGGTGTGTGTGTGTGTGTGTGTGTGTGTGTGTGTGTGTGTGTGTGTGTGTGGACTCGAGTGATGAACAGTGATCCTGCCTCTACAAGTAGTAATATTAGACATAGAAGATGCAGATGTTGCACTTGAATGTCCCTTCAAGTTGTTATCAGAGGAGTGAACTTGGTTTCTACGTTTTGAGGCAGATTGCGTTCATTTTTTATATTATATTTTTTATACATAATATAATTCAATTTACGTTAACTTTCCTTCAGCTGCATTTCTGTGTTTTATTTTGTTGCAAAACATTAACAAAGGTAAAACATCCAAAGATAAAGAACAACATCTGGCTCCTCTTTCTCAGGATCGTACTTCGCTCTTGTTCATCATGTTGTTGACCCCGACCCCTTTCTCTGTTCTGTCCTCCTGTTGCAGGATACCTCTATGCAACCCTCGCCAACATGGTGGTAACACTGACGTCCATGTTTGGCATCGTGGTGCTGCTGTGTACCGCCTGCACCGATGTGTTCCAAATGTGCATCCAGTTTTGCGTCAGTCTGGCTGTAGGTTCACTGACTGGAGACGCCTTAATGCACCTGCTTCCCATGGTGAGCACCGTTTTAAAGCTGCAGGGAGAGATTGTTTCAGACCACTAGGAGTTTGGTAAAACTGTAAAACATCCAATATTCACTTAGATTTTAGTTTTGGTTTGGAGACTTTACAGTTATAATGTAGAGTATTCTTCATTTTTGTGTGACTACTTCCGGCGTCTGTGTGCAGTTTCTAGGCTTACATGTGCACTCACACGACGGCAGCAGCCACAAGCACTCAGAGAATCATCACGAAGAAACTCCAGACTACATTTACAAGATGTTGGTCGTGTTGGCCGGGATTTACTACTTTTACCTGATGGAAACAATCTTCTCTCTGGTCACATATAAAGATAATCACCACCATCACCAACACCATCATGCGGTAAGAAAACAAAAACATACCACTACAGGTAAAACTGTACCTATTAGTAGTATAACTATAGACAGAACATATTGCTTACGAACCATTTTCTGAATTTTTATATTCCACATTGTGCAGCAGTGTTCAAAGATTTTATTCATGCAAAAACTGTCTCAAAGGATTTTATTTTCACTCTCAATTATTTGTGCTGCATGAAGGTGAATACCTGTTGGATGACTTTTCTTCCTCTGCTCATTCCTCCTGTTGCAGTCTTTCCTTTTACCCTTTTTCCTCCGTCTTTAACCAGTTTTCTCACTTCCTGTCTCTTCAGGAAGAAGCAGAGCCTCACCACTGTGACCATGGGGGAGTTTTAGAGATGTATCAACAGGAAAGGAAGCGAAAAGACAAGTCGGCATCAAAAGCAGACCTGGTGAGAAACATAACATTAACATTTGACGTTTTAAGGTGGAATACTGATCAAAACCGAAACAGTTCAGATGCTTCAGCCAACAATTTGGAAAAATTAGAACCAGTAAAGAAGCTGTGTCCAAAGACAAACATATTTTACGTCAATAATAGGACGGATTACTGAATGTTGTTGGTATACAATTAAATTTGAGTTCATCTACTTTTCAGGTTGGCTGTGAGGAAAACGTGAAATCACTTTCAGAACCAAAGGAGCTCACCAGAGGTGAGTAAAGTAGTTTCCAACACGAAAACAAGCATGATATCATCAAGCTGTGATAATGGTGCTCATCACTGTGGCTGCGAGAACTATGATAATTGTTAACTTTGTCTGCCTGCCTCTGCAGAACAACGTCTGCTGCCTTATATGATAACTATCGGTGACGGGATCCACAACTTTGCGGACGGCTTAGCCATGGGTGCAGCTTTCTCTCTGTCATGGAAGTCTGGCTTGGCCACATCACTGGCCGTGCTCTGCCATGAGCTACCACATGAACTGGGTAAAGAACACACCCAAAGGCAGGGAAGCGTCTGGTATGCTCATTTTTCATTAATGATTTCTTAACATCGTCCCGTTGCATTTGTTTCTCCCCAGGTGATTTCGCCATTCTGCTGCACAGCGGCGTGTCCGTCCGCAGGGCGTTGCTTTTAAACGTCGGCAGCGCCATGACCTCGTTCATCGGCCTGTACATCGCCCTGTCCATCGCCACCGACCTCGCAACCAAACAGTGGATAGCTGCCATCACTGCAGGGCTCTTCCTGTACGTGGGACTGGCTGACATGGTGAGTGTTTGTGTTTTACAGACATTGAAAGACAACAGAATGAGTCGTGAATAAATGATATGCAGAGAAAGATGATACCTCCATCTCCTCTCCAGCTCCCCACCATGGTCCACATCAGCAACAAGAGACCCTGGCTGATGTTTCTGCTGCAGAACGTCGGCCTCCTAACCGGGTGGGGTATTATGATGGTGCTGTCCCTTTACGAAGAGAGCATCAGCTTTTAATACACAGATTCATGTCAAGACACATACGCCAGCACATTGACCCGCTCAGTCGGTGTGCCTAGCTCCAGGTATAATCTCAGCAGAATGTAATATCGATGAACGAGCAATATATATGGGAACATTTTGGCCTCCCTGTGACCTTTTCCTGTATGTTCAATGCAGTAGGTTTCCATTTTATTAGATACACAAAATAGTGGTGGGGAGCGTCTTACCACATAATGCAATCTGGTACAACAACACCATAATCAGCCGGCAGGAGAGCTGAAAATAACACTCCTCTGACAGTCTCAACAAAACCTGAATATGATGAACCTCTGCAGTGGACTGCATTGGCTGTAGGAAGGAGAGACTATTAAACTTAACTCTCAGTCTATAGAACATATATAAAAAAAAAAAAAGAAGTTAACATTTTTTTTTTTTTACCAATGCTGACATTAGCTCACCCTGTATGGTTTTTCCTCACATTTTATGAAGCATTTTGTGGCTGGTGACACATCCACACACGTCATCTTCAGCTGACGTTTTACAGTCTTTTTACAGGTTAAAGTTACTTAATCATGAAATTAGAATTGATTTCGGACGGTTTAAGTCCACAGCGACCCATAGCTGTTGTCAGATTGTATTTTGCAGCAATGATAAGTGTCAAATGATAAACAGCACAGCGAATTTCAGAATATGCTGTACATGTGTTGGTTCCCCTTGAATTCCTTAGTGATATACTTGCATCATACAGCTTTGTACAGAGTTGTTCTTTTTGTGCTTTTTCTTAAGTGTATCTGTTGCAGAGTCATCAGGAAAATGTCACATTCACTAAAGAAAAAGGGAAACAATAGAGAAATGATACTGACTAAACTAAAAATCTCACAACACTAACTATGATGAATGTAAACGTATAAATAAAAGTGTTAATATGTTGGGATATACAGTGTGGTACATCTTTTGTATTTTTGCTGTATTTGAAAATTGAAAATAAAGAAATTAAAACTTACTCTATTTTTTTTTTCTTCTGCCTAAGCAGTTGGTGCATGAAAACTTAAAACACATTTACCGTTCAACTTTGGAGATGAGGAGGAAAAACAGCTTTCACTCACTTCCAGCAGTGGTTTGGGCCTTTTGGCCTTTGATTATAAATTTAGATCTTAATGTTGGCACTGAGAGCTCTCTATAAAATGGTTGGAAACAAGTATCAGAAAAACTTTCATCACTGACATTTAGTAGTTTTAGTCTGAAATTAAAGTACTATCCATTTGGGAGTGAATCTGTGCTCTAACTAATTTTAGAGGTGGATTTATCCTTTCCTCTTGCATTAGATCATGGTTTTGACTTTGAACCCCAGGTAACATGAAAAATTAAAAGCCAAAAATAAATCAATTTGTAATCTTTGTGTGAATGAAGCCGGAGGTACAGTGGAAACTGTGACTGTTTTTATCCGTCTCATCTAATCTTCTCGACTTAGAGGTTATGTGATTGTCTTCATTAGGGACAGAGTCCACTGACAACTTATCGCACAAAGAGAGAGAGAGAGATACATTCAATGAGCACTTTATAAGGAACACCTGAACACCTGCTTATTCATGCAATTATAAAATCAGCCAATCCTGTGGCAGCAGTGCAGCGCATTAGAATTATGCAGATACAGGTCAGGAGCTTCTGTTAATGTTCACATCAAATTTTAGAACCGAGAACAAATGTGATATAATGTGAATCTCAGCCTATCTGAGTGCTGCTGACCATTTGCATCTCTTTAGGGCCACAATTTACCACCTTCTAACGGTTACTTCCAGCATGATAATGCACCATGTCACAAAGCAAAAGTCATCTCAAACTATCTTCATGAAGATGACAATGAGTTCAGTGAACTTCAGTTTTTCCTCCCCAGTCACCAGATCTGAATCAAACAGATCTGAATCTTTGGGGTGTGGTGGAACGGGAGACTGGCAGTATGAATGTGCAGCGGACAAATCTGCAGAAATGATGTGAAGCAATCACATCAACAAGGACAAGAATCTCACTTGTAAGTTGCTTTGGATAAAAGTGTCTGCTTAACGAGTAAATGTAAGTGTTCTCAACATCTTGTGGACTCCATCACGTGAAAAGTTGGGGCTGTTTTCAGAGCAAAGGAGACGTCACTGATTTATCCTTTGACCTCATGGCCTGGTTTTTGCTGTAATATGCATTGTCAGCTTTGAGACCTTATATAGACAGGTGTGTGCCTTTCCAAACCACGTCCAATCAGTTGAATTTACCTCAGGTGGATTCCAGTCAAGGTGTAGAAAGACGAGGCACCTGAGCTAAAATTCAAGTGTCACAGTAAAGCGCCTGAATACTTATATCAAGGTGATATTTCAGATTTTCCTTTGTGATAAATTTGCAAAAATAATCTAAAATCCTCTTTATTTATGGGTTATTTCATAGATGTAGATTGATGAGGGAGAAATGAATTTAAACAATTTAAGCATAAGGCTGCAACACAACAAAATGTGGATAAGGGGTGGGGATAAGTCAGCATATACAGTATGAATGCTTAGTCATGACTAGTGTGCATTTTGTCTCAGATAAATGACCCATTTAATGACAACATGTAGGCTGTGCACTGATCCTTTAAGCATATGCCGTAAAAAACAAATTACAGAGATTACAGCACGTGGCTGCTGACGGAGGAGAACTGGATTTTCCTGAAGTCAGCTTTCCAACCTGCCATCCATCACTCTCAACTTCCACAGAACATTTTAAGGGTTTTAATGAGTCTCTAGAGTCCTGTAACTTTACTAATAAAACACTTGACAATTACATGTAAAACTGGACCTTTGAGCTGAGCATTATATAGATAATAATGTCTTTTACAGTAGTGTTGACAGATACAATCTGATTTTACAGACAGAAAATGAACCAAGACAGACTAGAGAAAGACCAAGACAGAGAGACTACCTAGTTGGGTTACGCTGTAATTCTGGATGGGAAGTTTTACAGCGTCATAAAGAAGTGTGTCAGGCAGTAATCCAGTGACATAGAAAGATGAAAGTTGCACTAAGCCCTCTGTCTCTCTCTCCTGCCAACAAAACAACATTTCCATACTACTGTGTTACTTGTTCTTCCAAATGTTGTTTCCTGAGGAACCTCACTTAATAAAGTTAGAAAAATGTATGTCTCCCTGTGTCACATACAGTATATATATATGTATATATATATATATAGTCATTTTAACAGCCTGTTTGACTTTGACCACCAAAATCTAATCAGTTGTTTGTTGGATCCAAATGGACATTTGTGCCAAATTTGAAGGGATTCCCTGGAGGAGTCCCAGATATATCACATTCACAAGGTCAAAACCATGTTTTGTGAGGTCACCGTGACCATGACCTTTGACCACCAATGTGGTAAATGAATGTTAGTGCCAAATTTGAAGAAATTCCCTTGAGGCATTCCTAACTTATCGTGTTAATGATAATGGGACGAGCAACCCGAAAACAAAATGTCGCCAGCGATGAGGCATAAAAACATTTATCAAACATATATGGAATACAATATTCAGTAACAACACAAAATGCTGCTGATGTTATATTGATAAACTAAAGTGTACATACTGCTAAGTTTTTTGTCTCTACCAGCTCACTGTGTGTTCGTTGATCCGTTGAGGAGAAAATAAGAAATAAATGTCATTTCTGTATTTATCTGAAGAGCCAGTCTTTTTCAAGAATAAACATTCACCAGGAGTTGCTGTTTATTGTGAATCACCTAACCTTCTTTACCTAACCTTTCGGGAAAAGGCTGAGTTAATGACCCAGTATTTCCTTGCTGCACCCACAGTATATTATTACATGGAAGCTAAGTCCAGTAAGATCTTCTTTTGGTCTTCTTGTGTTGGCCACTGGGTGAAGCAAGCTAAAGGAGCACTTCTTATTTAAAACCTTGTATTTATTATAGGGTTAGCATGTCTGTAACATTCAAAAAAGTGTTTTAAGTATTATTGCAGCACCCTAGTTAAATTACCCATCCTCTAACATTAATAGGTCGTGGAAAGACAACCATGGGAACTGCATTTCACTCCCCAGTGTATATACATATATACTGTATATATGCTCAGTGGACAGATTTCTTGACATTTTATGACATGATGTCAAAGTCAAAGCAGATATTCAAAAGTCAGAGTCCAGTGTAAAGACACAATGAAGAAAGAAGCTCAGGCTGTCACCTCACCCGTGCAGCAGCATCGCTGGTTTTCCTCCTGAATGTTGGCATTGTTGTGTTTCACTTGCCTCATTCTAAAGAGCACGTTTTATCTTTCATCTTTGTCTTCTGCATTAGAAAATCATTTTAATCAGGCTGTATGCCATTTCTCTAATGAGAGGATCAATACCACTCTCATGTCTGAGCAGTAAATATGAAGCTGCCGTCAGGAGACAGTGACCTGGTAGGCACATTTTAAAAGTCATGCTAGCCCCCCCACCCCCCTTCAGTCTTTGTATTCAAGCTAAGCTAACCGTCTGCTAGCTATAGCTTTATATTTAACATACAGACATAAGAGAGGTATTGATCTTTTCATCTAACGCTCAACCATTAAGCAAATAAGGCTCTTTCCCAAAACATCGAACCTATTTCTTTATGTAAGAAAATTTTTCTAAGCCATTTTCCATTTTCCAGTGATGCACCGGCCACTGGGCCCTGATAGTAACTTGCTTTTAAATTTTCAAACAAGAAAAACATGGCGACTGTTCCGAAAAATACATATATTAACAGCAATAATCAGGTCATGCAGTTGCAGAATCATGCTTAATTTAACTGTAATAAACTGATTTTCTCACTTACTCCACAACTGCTCTTCACAGTAACACGACATTTAAACCATGTGCTGTTAAAGTTTATGATTCACAAGTCCCATGTGTGTCTGCTGAAGTTGAGAAAATGTTTAACAAAAGGTGAGACAAACGATTTGTGGAAAATCCCACACACAACTTCAGGAAGTGACTCACCCTAAGACATTAGTCATTAGGTAATCCAGTCAAAGCAAGTCAATATTTGCATTCTTGTCCAGTGCGTCTTGCCTCATGGACACAGGTGGTGGTGGTGGGAGGAGAAATCCCACCGCCACCACCTTTTTGTTTTTGTTCTTATATTTTTACTTCCTCATATCAGGTCATTTCTGGGTCAGGACTTCTCTTATCTTGGGCCAAGTGTTTTTCATTTATGTGAAAAAAAAAATTCAAAGAAAAGTAAAAAATAACCTTCCTTGCCTCGCAGCTTTCTGAAAAGATATTCTTGAGATATTTCAAATAGATGTCACTGCAAGACCAAGCTAGAAAAATAGAAAGATTTTATTTAATTACAACCAACCAAGAAAAACTTTTTAACACAAATACAAAAACCTAACATTGTAGAAAACAGCTTAAGTTAAATGATTCAACATGACGGAAGAAAAGTTACATTTAAAAAAAATTTATCCAAACAGACCTCCGCTGCTTTGGGTAAAAATCCACGGATGTGAGTGTGGTGTGCATGTGCAGATCTGCGTGTGTGCATGTTTGGTTGGTCACTTGAAGTGAATGATCTCCTGAGTGGCCAGTCTGATGAGCTGGTTGAAGTCAAACTGGATGTACTTCCTCCAGTAGCGTCTGTCTCTGCCGTAGGTCTGAGCAGGATAGCACGGACTGCCTGAAAGACAGGTTTCAGTTTAGGTATATGCACGTCCTTAAATTAGGCATCGATGCTCACCATGCTCATGAATGCAGTTAAGACTCAGATTGAATTTACCCCTGATTCATCTCTGTCGACAATCCAGGAAAATACAGACATGGCAAGTGTTGGCACCCCTACACCTCGTTGAAACAAAACTCTGTTCTTCCTGAGAGGTATTGAAATTAAAAGCTCTTTTGTCACCTGCACGGCTTTGGTTTGCTATAAAGCAAAACAAAGAAGCTGTCGAAAGAGCTGAATTCTTCCTTATTCTACAAAAACCTTCCTAAAATGGAAATCGGGATAAATAAGTGGGTTGTAGTGATATTTCAAGCAGACTATTGTCTTCAGTTAGTATCACAGGTGTCTTCAATCTTACAATTCAGCCTATTTATATGGAGAAAGGTCCTCATTGTGTGCTCCACACTGAATATGGATGAGAGACAGAAAACAAGGGAGTTGTCTGAGGAGATAAGAAAGAAAATAATTGGAAACCGTGGTCAAGGTAAAGGTTACAAGATCATTTCTAAGCAGCTCAATGCTCCTGTGACCACAGCTGCTAATATTATTAACATGTTTAAGGTCCAAGGCGCCGTAGCCAACCTCCCTCGATGTGGCCATAAGAGCAAAACTGACCTCAGAACATTAGGTTATGGGTTGCATCATTTTTTGTATTATTTAAAATGATGTTTCATTGAAAACATAAAAATATAGAAAAAGAATAGAAAATAGTGGAGCCAGAGCCAGATGCTTTTGCCAGTTTCAGAGAAACTTTTCTTTGTTAAGCAGATGGGTACCAATAATTCTGGCAACATCTGTATGTGGTCTGGGGCCTGGGACAATTATTAGATAATCTTAAATCAATCACTTCATTTGTTCACCAAATGGCAATTTGGTCAGCTGAGAGGAGGTAAAAGCCTATGGAGATGTGACCACACCTGCTCAATGAGCATGTATAAAAGGCGCATTGATCGTTTTTTTAATTAAATATGTTTGTAAATTGAGAGAATATAATCTTTGAACCTGGATATATTTTTTAAACGTCCTCCAGAACCCTGTCTTAGAGATTCGAAACACTGTCAATCTCACAATTTTCCCATTAGTCCTATACCGCCCTCTAGAGGTGCAGAGTTTCCATGGTCACTGTCACCGGATGATCTGGTGTGTTTGTGTGCTCTCACCTATGCCATGGAGGATTCTAGCAACAGCTCTTCCAGAAAATTTCTCATCACTGCGGTTGGATAGAAAACTTCTGATGTCCGCTCTGATCTGGCTTTCCCAGTCCAGCAGCTACAAACAAACAAACAAACAAACAAACACGCAAGTCAAACAGAATATTCAGAGCATTCAAGACACATATTCAGCTGAAAGTCCTGATAGCCATCCTGTGGGTTTTACCTTATACTTGTCGAGCTCCTCAATGTCCACTGGTCTGAGTGTGTGGGCTCGGTCTCGCCTCTTGTCAAAGTACTCAGAGAGAAGGTTTTTCAGCTGCAGACTGCGGCTCACATCCAAATCATCAACGCAGGACAAAACGCTTTGAAAAGCAACACTGGGAAAACCACGTACAGTTTTGAGTAAGTCCTCTTAACCCTCAAAAGCCCCATAAGAGATTGTTTGAATGTTGCTCAACTATTAGTTGAGATTTTTGCAGGTTCTCTTCTGGTTTAGATTTGAATGATAATGATGTGGATGGTTTGATAGTGGAATAAGGGTATAAATAATACTTACTGGAATGACCAAAGCAAAACAGATTAGGTAATGTCAGTCGCAAAGAACAGAATAAACTACAACCATCTAAGACCAATGCAAGCATTGACATCCCATTAAACGATCTGTAACCATTCTACCAATTTCTCTTTCACAGGTGTGAACAAATCCATTTTTAAGTGGAATAATATAGATATAGATGAATTTAACTGGAGGGTGAAGAATTGCAACTTTTAAAAACAGTGTGTACCTCTTGAAGGACTTAAAACAGGTGGTCAGCTGGTAGAGCTGTGTTCTCTCTTGGTCCTGCACGCGATTATGGAGGAACTGACAAACTCTGTCCATCTCCTCATCGCTAAGGTCTCCATAGGAGCGGAAGTAGAAGGATGGGGAGGAGAATTCAACGAGGATGCCGCTACGCCCGCCAGCTGAAACACAAATATCGATGACCAATTGTTTCTGTGTATCATTGGTCAATTTTTCAGCATTGCTGCCTTCATCAGACAATGACAGTAAGGACAGGACATCAACATCAACATCGTCAAACTCACAAACCAAGTCACTTACAACATTTGCTGTGATGATAATAAAAGAAGGAGGGCTGCCCCAAGCTCACAAACACGCTCGTAAACAAACCTCTATCAGTGCTCCACTGCAGCTGTCTGAGTCCTCTCTTCACAAGAGGAAGCTGCCACCCCATAGTGTCCGCAACCTCGACAACATCAAACTCCAGCTGATCACACGTCTCCACTCGCTCGCCCGCCATCCGCCTTCGGGCCAGAACCACAGCAACAGGAGGACAGCTGTGGAGAGGAAAAAGTAAAATAAATTAAACCTGATTTCGTTTTAATTTATCTAATGATAAATAACTTCAGTTCTATATCTTTGTGTAAAATGAGACACAGTCATGCACACACGGTATAAAGTGGCACATACAGAGTGTGTAGCTTTTTAAGAACATCTTTAATACCGTCAAACATTTCATACATTTTCATGATTTTCTGGAGCTGCCTCGGTCCATCATAGCAGCTGACTTTACACACAGACATGGTGGGGTGCAGAAGTTCGACGAAGCGCTGAGGATGCAGCTCCAGATAGCACAGCAATGTTTCCACTCCTGAAATACACACAAAGAAAGAGAGCGAGAGAAAAAGTTAATCAATTATGTTTTGCTCTACTTGTGTGGTCTTGTTTAGTGATTGTCCTATTACTGATTTTTCACTGTAGTTAGTGCATTTAATTTGTCACAGTCACTAGATTCTACTTTGTTCTGAATGCACCGTAAAGCTAAACATGCCATGTTCTCACTTCATAAGACTTGACTGAACCCATCTTTTCTGGGCTGAATCTGGCTTAAATCTGTAATGAAATACTTCGTTATAAATAAATAAATACTGCTACATACTGCATTTATCATCCTACTACCACACTGTTTTACTTTTTGTTTTAATTGCTTTATTTGTGTATATGTGCTTGTGCGTGTTTCTGCTTACCTTCCTCTGTGATATCCAGAGCCTCGACAGTCTGCTGGATGGGAATCGCTCTCTCGTGCGTGTGACACACTCGCTCTCTGGGCCAATCTTTGCTCTCTCTTTCGTAATCCCTCGGCGAATCACCGGCCGCCTTCACCTCCACATCCTGGTTTTTCACCAAACCATCAGCTCCCTCATCTTTTACAACCTGCTCCTCTTTCTTCTCCTCCTCCTCCTTTCTTTCATCGCTGCCTTCTTGGACAGGTAACTCCACTGAATCAGGATGTGACGACTCCTTGCAGTGAGAACAAGGTCACATAATGCACTCGTTTTGCCTAAAATAGTGGTCCCCACTAATATCACTTTGTAAAATGTGTCCTTGTTAAATTAACTATAAATTAACAACCATACACTGCTTTTAACTTTAGTTTTTCAGTTTCCTTATTTTCTTAAGCATAACCTGCATTTTAACTGTTTTATCAGGTTAAATGGTTAAAAAGAAAGAATAAACGATATTAAAGAGCATTTTAATCACCTGTGCATCAGCAGATTCTGGATTAGGGTGACTAGGAGGGTTAAGGTTGCTCTCCTGATCACACGCATCCATCATCTCCAACAGCTCAGCGTCTTCAACGTCCTACACGTATGGACAGATACACCATTTTTGTTTTATTTTTTACTTTATAGAAAGTTTTAGTTTGAGTAACATGGACTCAAAAACACTTCTTGGAACAGCATGTGGACTACAGATGCACACACACAGAACAGGAGACAGTTACCTTGATGAGTTCCTGTTGTTTCTGGTGTATCCGTTTACATTTGCATGGAGGGAAAACTTTCTGCACCAGCCTCTTTACTGTGTAGTAGTCCACTGTGTCTGCATAGATATGACGACGGAGCTCATGGAGGTCTCCACCCTGCACACAAATACACAGTGAATTCACTTATACTTGCAACACTGGACCAACACATAAACCAGCAGAGAGCCACAGAGAAAGAAAATTAAAACAGACAGCTCTCGAGAATACTGGTGTGTGAATGGGGCGGGACTTTACAAATTCCTCTATTAAATAATCTTATATATTTCCAGATTACTAATATAATATACTGAGTGGTAAATGAATACGACAAAAAATAGATTCAAAGCACGATAAAGGAGGTAAATAAAAACTTTTATCAAATACAGCCAATCAATTTGTATTTATTGTTTCTTTTAACAGTAAGATAGCATTGTTATTATCCAATAACAAATCCCGTGTTTTGAGGTGTGAGCACAGAAACAATTAGAGTCAGGTTAGTCCCTTCTTAAATGAACAGTTTAATTCTCACCTCAGGGTCCAGGAAGAGGTGACAGTGGGCCGGTTCTCCGTCTCTCCCTGCCCTCCCAATCTCCTGAACGTAGCTCTCGAAGCTCTGGAAACACAATTACCAGTAAGGGAATACTGATACAAACAGGACCTTGGCCATGATAGATAAACACGTATATCTAACAAAGTTTGGTCTAATTAGATCCTGCAATCATGCAACAGAATTGTTAAAAAGCAAACTTCTACAGAAACAATGAGTTCCTTATTCTTGCCAGAGTTTGTTGTGATGTCTGGGTTTAAGATCAAATGAAATCTCTTTTTATGTTTTATGTAATGCTCATGGCCACAAACATTACCACTGTTGATAATATGGTTGCAAATTAGAAGCAAGAAGTTTACTAGTCGCACACCAAGTGAGAGCTGAAGTTTCACTGGGATTACAAAGTTTCAAGAGCCACAAGAGCGACGACCCACCTTTGGCATGTTGTAGTGGATGATACCACGGACGTCAGATTTATCGAGGCCCATGCCAAACGCCACAGTGGCCACCACTATTCTAAGCTCCCCGCACATGAAGTTGTTCTGGACACGACGGCGCTCTGATGCCGAGAGGCCGGCATGGTACGACTCAGCCTGCCATTTCAGTGGTTTACGAATCTTCTTCCTTGCTGAGCACAGAAAGACATGACATTGCGAAAAACAATAGGGAGAATGATTTTTGATTAAGGTAATACAGCAGCTTACCCATGCCATGTTGTTGGCTGAAGTTTAGCATGTCTTGTTATTTTACATTTTACCTCTTCCCCTGACATTTCTCTCTCCATTTTAGTGAGAAAGTTGAAAACACAAATTATTGTGCCCTCACCCAGCTCTTTCTTTCTCTGTCCTACAGGGTTGTTTTGTGTCTGGCTGCTGCTGCTGATTTGCTTGTTTTCTTTAACCAGCACTCCCTGCAGGCAGGTCCTGAGGAGAGCTGCCACACGAGTGGTCTCCTCTCTTCTGGTGCAGTAGACAATGACGGAGTCCAGACAACCAAAACGATCACCTCTCAACAAGGACACCAAAGCCTTAAAATGTGAAGACAGGAGAGATGCAGATAAAAAGTAAGAGAAATCTAGGATGATGATTTCAACTATGCATAGTCACACGCACAGGGACACATATAAATCATCACACCTGATCCTTCTCTCTATCCATGGACACAGACAGACGCAGGTTAGGAGGAACTGCTGCAGATCTGACTGCAATGCCATCTTGATCAGTGATGTCCAGATGCTGAGCGATGTCCAGAGCAGTAGACAGTGTGGCCGTAGCAGTAAGTCCCAGTAAGCACTGCACTCCCAAACGCTCCCTTAGCACCTACAAAAACACACACACACACTTATCTATGACTCATCAGACTGTGTTGTAGCAATTAGTGGTACATATATACATCAATGTGTGTGTGTAATAAACCAACAGTGGCGCTCAAGATTTCAGCTATGATCAGGAGAAAAGGCTGAGATCAAAATGCCAGGCAATGAAAATTATTAGCGCACACACACACACACACACACACACACACACATCATTCACCCACCTTACAGAGCCTCAGGTAACAGGGTCTGAAGTTGTGTGACCACTCAGAGACACAATGAGCTTCGTCGATACAAGCGAAGGCCACAGGAGGGAGCTCCTGAGCGGAGGGCAGACACCCTGCTCCTGAGCCACCTCCACCAACCAAAGCCTCTGGAGAGAGCAGCAACACACACACCTGGCCTGACTTCACCTGGACAAACAGAGGAAAAGAGCACACAGCCTGGGCTGAAAATACGACTGAACATATGACATTTCCAGTTCAAGCCAAGATTTCTCTTTTGCTTAAACTGCATTACTGAACTATCAAAACACTTCTGTACAATTGAGGGGTTTTTTTGCTCAAAAAAACTCATCTGCTGATGAAGATCATGTGATTAATCAAAAGCTCCAGAACAGCCACTAAATGCACCTAGAGGTGAAATTGTGATTGACACCGTCAAATACATTTTTACAGGAAAAGAGAATTACTAGACTAGATGTCAATGAACTGGATTAAAACTTAAAAAAGGAACAATTTGTGATTTTTACATTAAACTCATCCACAACTGAGAGGGAGAACAGTGGTGACTGTGGAGACTCTGATTATGCGTGTTACCTTTTCTATCGCAGCTTCTCTCTGTTTCATCGTCATGTTGGAGTGGATACAGGCTGCCTTCAGCTTGGCTGGCAGGCCAGACAGCTGGAAACACACAAGTACAATTCACAGTAAAATGTATCACAACAGCTGCGTCACTGTTCACAGTGAGAGGGTATGTTTGCTCTGTGCCCTGCAATTATGATTAAGCAATGACAAAATGTTGGCTGATTTTCTTAATGTGAAGTTGTGATTACCTGATCATCCATCAGTGAGACAAGAGGTGAAATGACCAGTGTGATGCACTTTGACCTCTGAGCATACAGGTAGGCTGGAAGCTGATAGCACAACGATTTACCCATCCCTGTTGACAACACTACGAGGGTAGAGAGACCTAAAGAGAGACAGAGAGAGAGAGAGAGAGAGAGAGAGAGAGAGAGAGAAACATGAATACAGATTATAGCTGCACAGATAAAAATAGAGAGTCTGTGTTGTGTGTTTTGTGTATGTCCGTACCTGACAGGATCCTCATGATGGCCTCCTCCTGTCCTGGTCTAAATGACTTATAGCCGAGGTCTTGCAGAGCTGCATACACATCAGCGGGTGTTGCTGAACACACATACACACAGACGAAGAGTTAATGAGTTAATGTTTGAAAAAATCTGTTTATTTCCATTCACCCTGTTTTTAAGGAGTTCCGCGTGTGTTTACCCTGGACTTTTCCATCATCTGTGAGATCATACAGTGGTGCCATTGGTGGGGGAGGAGCGGGCCGCTCATAGTCAGGACGAATCACATTCAACAACACCTCATCTTGATGCTTATGATCCGCTTCATTTTCTTGGTGCTGCTCCTCGTTGACGCTGGGAGAAGACACTGGAACACACAAACATCAGGATACACACAAACACGACAAACACACAAGTACTTGTGAGTTTCTTGTATTTGCAGCACGATTTTTCCAAAGTTGTGATGAACTTTGTAAAGTACCGAGCGGCTGAGGTCGCAGTGTTCCCGTTGCCCTGGCAACCTCCTCCAGAGTTGGCAGCTCAAAGGGCTCCTCTTCAACAGGTTGCTCCTCAGGAACAGGAGGAGGGGGGGCTACAAAACAGAGTTCAGAGGTATTTGTTGTTCATCAGTACAGCTTCTCAGACATGATACCATGTGTGTAACATAGTGCACATAACTACAGCTGAAGAATGTGAATGGAATTAAATATGACAAAGTGAGATGACAAGATGAGGAAAAACATGGAGGCAAACCCTCAGTTTTCATGTATTTTTCAAGCAACTAATTAAAGGTAAAAGAGTTTTAATCATAGTAACACAAACATCTGACTCGTCAGTGTTCACGCTCACCAGTTTCTACAGAGGGGTCTGTAGTGTAGTACAAACAAAACACCCAAATGTATCACTCACACTATGACACCCTATGTGCAACTTCATTTATTTATTCATTTATTGGTTTATCTAACAGGCACCGTGCACATTAATATGCATTGTGCCAAGAGGAAATGTGTTTTTTCCCCTAGAATTTTCCTGGAATTTACATTTGCCAGCCATTGTGTAAGGAAATTAATAAGTCGTTACATGTTTCACTCTGTATTACCTCGTCCCTTGCAGTCGATGGCCCAGTGTCCAGTCCCTCCACACTTGTAGCAGGTGTCACCCTGGCGACTGAGCCCCCCTCTGAAGCCTCCTCTCCTTCCTCTGCCAAAATATCCAGCACCTCCACCAAAACGCTCGCCTTTCAGCTGGAATTTCTGCATGTACAACTGAAACATATACAATAGGTTTACATGTAAAAAAATAAATAAATAAATACATTAATACAGACACATCTTTGTTCCTCTGGAGTCATGTGGAACAGGATGCATGTATAGGTTTTCTGGGACAGAGTTACACAAATACATCCATTCCTTGCTAGGATTTTGAAGACAGGTTTTGTATATTTAGTAATAAACAAAGCTGATTGGTCAGACTTGTTCATCTTAACATTTCTATCCTGAGCAGGACAACTGAAGTCCAACACACAATCCAACACACACATACACAAAACTCACCTGTTTGCGGAGAGCTACCCCTCTGAGTGCATATCCTTTGACATGAGATTTCTTCTTCAGATTTATCTTCACAAAGTTACCCTCTGCACCTTTCATGCTGTTGTCAAAATAAATTGAAAAATTTAATTTAAAAACACAGGCTCCAAAAAGAGACGCTGCAGCACTATTTTGCAGTGTGGGGTTACGTTCGATCTCACCTGGCTCTGACAGGCTGAGTGTGATACATTCTCTTAGTCACAAATTCCTCCTCTATTTCTCCTAACAGGTTCTCCTGAGGCACCTTGACAAAAATTATACCACATTTAATTATACCATCATACTATGTTTATCTTCACTTAATGCATTTGCACAAAAATAATATGAAACAACATACAGTATGATCTAAGATGGACACAAACCTAACTCCTTACCTTTTTTGGTACCTTGCTTTGTTTCTCCTCTCCTCCCTCTCCATCTTCCTCTCCATTTTTCTTGGTTCTCCTTTTCTTCCCTTCTCCTCGAGCCGGGCCAGAGTTCAACCCGGAGCTCTCCTCTTTCTTTTTGCCATTCCTCCTCTTCTTTTTCACTCCTCCCTCCTGTGTCATCTCTCCCTCCATGTCCTCTCCCTCTCTCTGCCTCTTCCTCCCTCTCTTCTTTGTACCTTTGGGCTTGGGACTAGTCTCACCATCACCCTCTGGTGTTGGAGGTGGCGCCTGCCCTCCTTGCAACTCCTCACCTCCCTTCCCTTTGTTTTTTCTAGTGGGTTTTCGGGGAGGTTTTGGTGCACTATCACTGCACATTGTGTCACTGGGAATACCCTTAAAGCCTTCATCTCTCCCCATGTCTATTGTTTCTCTTCTTTCTCCCCCTGTCTCTATTTCTCCTTTTGCTACTCTTTCACCCCCCTGTATTTCTCCTTCTGTTTTTCTCTCTATTTTTTTGTCTATCTCCTGGTTACCTGCCCCAGGCGTCTCCGCTGCCCCCATCTCCCCAAACACCTGACACCTCTCTAACCACTTCCTATCAACAAAACCCAGCCTGCTGGCAGGAGAGGGCCTTCCTCCAGTACCGTTACCTCCCACTCCTCCTCTGACACCTCCGAGGAACTGTGGGCTCCCTCTCAAAGGAAACATACCCCTATGTGGAGTTCCTAATGTCTCAGAATTCACTTTTTTCTCTCCTGAAGCTCCTATACTGTCATCTAACTTCCCTGTGGTTCCAACATCTTCTCTTGAAGTTTCAACGCTACACGGTGGAGACAGCGACAACAAGGCAGAAGATCTGGCTGCAGAGGGAGCTAGACTCGAGGCATTTTGATTTTGTGAGCTAATGACATTACTGGTACAACTTCTACTACTAACATTACTACCACAACTATTGGCAGCATCTGAAAGTTCATCGCTAAACTTTCCAACAGGCTCAACTGGTTCAAACTGCTCTTCAGGCTCCACTGGATGTAGTGTCTTTGAAGCCAGGGGCCGTGGGAAAGTCGTTACTCTTCTGTGAACAAAGACACGGTTACAAGGAGGACTCATTATTGGTTCTTCCATTCAAATTAAAGTTTTTACATAGCTTGTATATTTAAGATGGCTGATGCAATACACAGGGATATGGGAGCACAAAGCTGGGCTACAATTATTTCATCACTCTGGTGTTTTAAATGAATAACATAAGACATAAAATAAAACTGAAAAATCAAAAAAAAAATCTGTGTCTGTGTACTGTACTGACATATAACATTACAAGTCAAACTTAAACACTTATTTGATTCATCAATGGAAACAAAAATAACTGGAAACTATCTTGATCACTGATTAAATGTTTCAGTCATTTATGAGGCAAAAATACCAAAACTATTTTCTGGTGTGACTCCAACGATGTGAAGATTTTCTGCTTTTCTTTTTTTCGTATCATTGTAAACTGGACTTATTTGGGTTTTAGACAGTTGGTTGGATAAAATAAGATAATAAGACGTCACCTTGGACTCTAAAATACATTTTGACAATTCAAAGACTAAACAATTAATAAATAATGACAATAATCATTAGCTGCAGCCTGAACTGAATTCAGCAAAATTTGGTTATATATCTTACTGTGAATTATGCATTGATAATATGGAGCTACCATTTAAATGCTCTCTTTAATTTAATTACCTTGGTGAGAAGGGGCTGGATTTGGGGTCAGTGGACGTGGTCTTGTCAGTGGCAGCAGCAGCAACAGGGCTGTTTGTCTGACCAGTCAGTCCACCTTTTAAGGAGTTAAGAGGCACACGACCAGGAAGGGCCGATTTCTTCAGTGAGACAGGTTTCTCCTGGAATAACAAAAGGAAATCAGTACAAAAACCAAAGTGGCTGTTACCGTGACCAATCCATCCTCAATGTGTACATAAGTGACTTTGGTCAGCCTTTTTTCAAAGTGTCCCCTCACCTTACTGAGTGTGGCTAGGTTGTTTTTAAGTTTTAGGCCATAGTATTGGGCCGAGGCCTTAAGACTGTCTCTGTCCTGGGATGTTAGTCTAGGAGAAGACACCGGCAACATACTACGATTCAGATGGGCACCCCAGCTGTCTGACTCCTGAACAGACAGATGACACACAAAGACAGTAAGCAAATGGATGAGACAGGGAGAAGCAATGGTGGGAAATAACAAAGAGAAATACCATTTAGACGTCTGACCTTAGCTGTAGATCTGGACTGTTCAGCGTGTTCGCTGGCTGCATCACTGCTGCTGTTCTCTTTGGCTTGTTTTAAAGTGCGATACTCTTTATACAGCTCTGAAATACACACACACAAAGTGATTCTCTCCTGTCTCTAAACCGATGATTTATGCTGCAGTTGGATTAAATGTATGGATCAAGGAAATATATCCGTTTATCTGTAACGCAACTGAATGGCAGTACTCACTCCTGGTCTCTTCTGGAGCTTGGTCAATGTCCTCCTGGAAATTAAAGAGCATTATAATATTCAACTTTTATTATCATTAGTCAAAACTGAATTAAATAATTTCAAATTTACCAATTAATTATTCAATTCCTTAGATTAAGATTCAATTGCGAAAGTAATATCGGCTCCTTTTGCAATATAGACATTGAATCAACAGAGAATATTGTCTTTTTTGTCATCATTCCCAGCTGTAATGGAAACAAATGTAAGAATGGTTTAAACAAAATAATATATAAGTTGAACTCAAACCACAACGATGGAGTGGTTCAGAAACTGGAAAATCTGCTGATTAATACAATATATAAACAAATGTAGAAACTCAAAATCTGCAAAAGAACTGATGTACAACTTGAACCTGAAATTACTAACCTTTAATTTACATTTTGGATTCACTTATCGTGTTGTTTATTTCGTATTCGTTACAATGTCTGTTTTGTTTAATTGTTTTGATTTTTTTCTCCTACTCCGCTCAGACACAAGCCAAGGATTTTTAACACCGTGGTTCACCTGCATTGCTGTTTATAAATGTATCGTTCAATAAAGCAAAATAAAGAAATATGAATTTTAAGAAAAAGGGAAACACACTGACAGCAACAGCATATTCGCCAGTAAGATACGTGTTTGCCCTGTGTATAAACAAAACAATAATGAAATAAACAATATAAAAACATACAAAATATCATGTCATTGTTGTTGAACGCTTCATTCGCAGCTAACGGTGTGCTAACATTTAAATCACCTTGTTAGGTTTCCTCTGGTGCTGTTTGACAAACCCCTGCTCCCAGCCTTTCAGCAGAAGCTTCACCTCTTTGTAGCGGTCCATGGTGACTGCAGGGTCGACAAAATACTCCGACTTTCTGACAGACCTATCTTTCTAACAATGCGTAGATGGTGTGAGGCATGACTTCAGGCGAAAGCTGCATCGACACGTAAGTTTTAACAAGAAATTTTTATAAACGCAACGTAATTGTTCGCGTGCTTTCTGAATCCGGAAGTGAAAACCTTCGTGTATTTAGTAACCCTGACTTAATTAATGTGTCCTCCTTTAATAAAAGTTACTGTTACATTTGTAGTCCATAACAATCATATTAAGGGACTGTCGTAAAGAGCTTCTTCCGCTGTGTGTTGTTTACGATTTTCCCGCGCCGGAAAAATGACAATTTGTGTTGCCAGGTTTCCTCATATATCCCCCAATCTCACAAAACACGCGCTTCTTTTCCGTGGTGAAAATTGTGTTGTGATTTTATGAAAGACTAACGATGAACATTAAGGTGACCGAGATAAATAAGAAAGAGAAAAGGGCTTTATGTAATATGTAGGGATATCATTACAATAAAACGCCTTTGCAAGGTTGCCATATCTGCGTGACAAAACCATGGCCAATCAACACCTGCCCAACAGGCACAATACCACAACTCAAAATATGCCTCTGCCAAACCCTATGGCCCTGCACTGCTTATTTGGTCCAACAGCATTGTTATTTTAGCGAAATACATTGTAATATCTATAGTATAAAAACGTAAATGTCAACATTAACGTTAAATGTGTCAGCATTAAAAGCAGTATTCCCTGAATAGCTTTCACCTTGCTCCTACAATTGCCTTGCGTAATTAGATACAATATATTATCATAAATAAAATATAGCTATCTGTACTGTAATTTGCATGCATAACAGGTCTACCCAACCAGCAACACTTCAAAAGTAGCCCAATTCCGTGGTAAAACCGGAGATCTGGCAACCCTGAGCAGGACCTCCTCTTTCAGGCTCCACACACCCAGCCTCCTTCATTAAAGGGACAGGGATGGCCCGAAAAAGGCCTTTCTGCTTACAGTATGATCCATGTCAGATCTATGCTTATAACACAAGCAGAAATTTCCTTAATGATTAAAACTTTTTGACAAAACACATTTGACTTGTCACAATATCATCCTGCATACAGTCGTGCTTCAAAATTTCATATAATATAATATACTGTACCATCAGTGCCCTGTTGTGTTTTTTTTATTTAAAGACACTGAAAAGAAAAATACTTTTACCCATTTTGTGTTCCTACAGTAATGTACAGTGTGTACAGAGCTATGTATTGGTAGATACCAATATACAAAAAAAAAAAAAAACACACTGATGATTGAAACGCATTTTCACTTTGCATTAATATGCATCTTGTCCAGATATAGATCACATTTTAATACCAGGTGTAAACAGGGTGAGAGTTAACCATAAGCAGATAATTGATGTTATGCATTAAAGCAACAGCAAAACCTATGAAGGTGTTAATGACATAGAACAACAACAGTAACAAAGAAAAACACTTTTATTATTAGGAGGCAGTGTATATGTTTACTGTGGGAGGTCTATCATGCTACAAAGACTATGGCTCTGATAGTTAGGATGGACATTATTTTACATTTTTCATGATGAGACATCACTTCATTCCAGTTGGGAAACCTCGTGGAAATATGCACCCAGCATCTTGATTCCCTGAATGTAGTTGGATCTGAAAAACGAAACATGAAAACACTGATGAGCTTGTTTAAATCAGTGGATCATCATCAATATTTCAAGCTACAATAAAATACTCAAAATTTTAATTCTAACTTTTGGGTGGAAAACAAGAACTTATATTGGTAATTGAACTATCACAAAATTTAACACAAAATAAGATGTGGAGGTGGTTGACAGTAATCAACAGCCTTAAAACAGCCTGAATAGTTTTTCTGTGTCCAACTTTTCAGTCCCTTGGAGATTCAACTGTGGACTGTGACATACCTGTTGAGTTTCTCATTCTGGGAGTGAGCTCCATCATCAGAGGATCCAACTGGAAGCAGCATAACGTTACGCCCTGTGGCCTCCTGGAAAGTCAGAGTGACAGGAATGCTTCCACCCTCACGTGTCAAGTCGGGCTCGACACCAAAGACTACAGCACCGCAAGGAGGACGAGACAAAGACACACAAAGACAAAGAGAAGAACAGTCAATATGAGTAAAATGTGTTAAAATGAAAACAACTTGTGGACTGCTATTTTCATACTTATCCATTATCTCCCTCTTTAACAATAATCCGTTGTAGTGAAAAAAAAAACAATATACAATGTAAATTTTAATATTCAATGTCAATTTTAGAAACTCTGTAAGCCTATAAAACCAAAACTATCTACAAGGCTAAATAACCGTGGGAGTAAGTAGGAGTATGTTTAGTATTTTGAGTGAATTGATTTTTTTAATCATGTACATCAATTATCTGTCATTCTCCTGTCACTCTGTCTTTGTACCTGTTTTCATGGCCTTCCGACCAGCCATGTAGTGTGGGTGGTTGAAGTCAGAGACCCAGGCCCTGGCTCCGTGGCCCATGTACACTTTCAGTTTGTTGGGGGTTCCCAGCTCAGCAAATTTCTTCTGCAGATGGCCGATAACCTTGAAAATAAAAAATAAAAACATTAGTGAACCCAAAACACCAAGAAGATTGTCATGAACTTTGTTTGTGAGGACAAATGTTTGACATTTTAGCTTTATCTAAGAGGTTATTAAACATAGTCCAGGCTCAAGCTAGAGCTGATTGACACTCTGTCATTCACACCTGTCGTTTTCAGGCTGATTACAATTTATCAACCTATATTACAATTCATTTGTCAACATTTTTTAATTTTATACATTTAATCAAAATCTAAACAACAATTTAGGTTGCTCTGTAAATCTGCTTTACTGGCACAAATGTAGCTGTAGATGCGATATTCTTTCCAAAGCAGCATGACTGAGCGACTCATCTGTGTGACACACAACCAGGAATGAGGAAGTGGTTTGCAAAGTCTTCAAGCAAATAAATTTCACTTGCAGAGACTTTAATATTTTCCACACAATGACCTTTACAGGATTCTAGTCACATGAACACCCCCAGATGATATAATCAGAGTCAGGGTTACCTGCTTCTCCACATCTTTGGGGTCCATGTCAGGGACGAGGCGGATGGAGAACTTGCCGATGACCTTGCGGGGGATAACAGTCTTGGCTCCTGCTTCAGCGAAAGCCCCCTCAATGCCATGAAGAGAAAGAGATGGGTACCTCCAGCGGTGCATTAGGATTTGCTCCTGCACGGCAAAAATGAAGAACAGGACAGCTTAAATTAGGATGAACTGCCATTAGGAAACTCAGAGTAGTGCAGCAGTGATGTAAAGAGCAGAAATCAGTTCCTTGCCTTGGTGTCATGCAGCAGATGTTTAACTCCAACATCTTTGCAGTACTCATCCAAGTCAAACTCAATTTTCTCATACAGCTTCTTCTCCTCTTCTGTCAGAGGGGCCACGTCGTCGTACAACCCAGGGACCAAAATCTTCCCCTTCCTGTCTACCAGGGAGCCTGTTTGGGAAATGACAAACAAGAGATTAAAACTCCTACAGTTCAGAGAAGCACACATTTGTGACCAGAGTTTGCCTCTAAAACTGCACTGAAATGGGTTTTATATTCAATTTATATTCAGTAATCAGCTTCGCTTACCCATAAGTGCAATAAGGTCAGTCATGGCCTCATGAACAGAGCCACCAAACACCCCTGAGTGTAGGTCCTTCTCACAGCACTCCACCTTTAAAGTTAAGAATAAACCGTCATTTTAATGTGCTGCATCAAAACACAATTTCACAAAATGCTGGAGTACACTGGTGTTAATACTGAAACACTGCAATACAGTAGGACTAGGTTCCTTTTCCCAACAGTTTAACTGATTATGCAAAAAATGGAGTCACTACAATCCGACTCCACCTCAATGAAGAAGTAGCAGATTCCTCTCAGCCCGTAGGTGATGCAGGGTTTGGTCTTGCCCAGCCAGTAGTTGTCAGAGATGCAGACATAGTCCACGTCTTTTAAGAAGGTGTCTTTTCGAGAAAACACCAGTTCATCCAGGCCCTCAGATCCAGACTCCTCCATCCCCTCGAAGCAGAACTTGATGTTGATGGGAAGCTCCTGCAACATGAAAAAAAAAGAAAACTCTGTTAAAACATCATCACCAGGCATCGCTGTGCACAACAATAAAGATCAGACGGATGAAAGACCAGTTTAAGTCGATCGTTTTGAGGCTGTTCAAACAACATATCCTCTCTTTCTAGAGTTGATTTTCATGTGGAAAGTAACCCTTTAATTTCTAATCATAGAATAGATCTTTGCTGGGTTGACTGGAGCATCTTAATTCATGTACAATATATCCCATATCATTGTGATTTTTTTCCTGAGACAAACTATTTCACTTGTCAAATACTGTTTCAGGGACAAGTGATTCCAAAAAACTTGACTTGGTTTAATCATTAAGTCATGGATTGATAAAACACGCAACACTATTAACCATTTCATTCAGAGACCTTTGACTTCTTATCCTGCTGACGGCTCTAAAGTGATCAACAGGTAATTTACAAATCAGCTCTGTACTTTAAAACGGAGATAATTCATTTCTCAGAGTGATGCAGAGTCACTCTGGAAAAGCGGTCCCTCAGATCCACTGTGCTGTATCCGAATATTCCTTGTCTATAGTTTTTTCTTTAATATCAATACCAGACTGTGTTGTCTGATCCTTATACTGAAACTACCTAATCACAAGGAAACCACTATTTGCCACAACACTTTAAAAAAAATGCATGTTCGCCACAATAAATTATCACTTTTATATGCACAAAAAAAGCACATATAGAACAGTATTAAACCCAAAAACCTGAAATGACTATCTACAACAATGCAAGCTCTTCAAAATGCATCTTTGAAAAGGAAAGCACCCAAGAGATGGATGTAATGGATGTAATTATCATTCCATTCACTTTGTATAGGGACCAAACAATAATAACA